GTGTGGCATGATGCCCCTTGCTGCTGCCGCCACCACCGCCACCCAACAGGGGCTTGTGAGCTGAGCCGAGGGCAGCCAGGCAACCTGGCAGGCGGCAGGTTTTGCTAGGCCGAGGAGCTGAGTTCCCACTCGGCGACTGCTCGGGCTCAGGATGCAGCCATTCCCTGGAGGTCACTCCTGCCCCAGGGCCCACTCCTTAGGTCCCTGTCCCAGCCCTGTCCCCCAAAGCCCAGGTACCCAGTCTGCTGGTGGCCACCATCTGGTCCAGTCCTGTCTTGGCCCCAAGGAAGCATTCTGTGTGGGGTGTGGGGGCTCCAGTCCGTCCCCTGATCTCATTTGATCTCACAGGGACTCCGATCATCACTGAGACCCAGGAACATGGAGGATGTAGACCCCCTATGTTCCCCCATTTCTTCCCTCAGTCCCTAAGTCCTTGGGAAGTATCTCAAGCATGCAGGTACTGATGGGGAGTGGGGCATGAGGACCCTAATTCCACTCCAGAGGGATGTTGCCTCTCTGAGGGGTGGGGCTGGGCACCACTGCTGCTTTCTCTCCTGCTCCACCCCCAGCTCTCTCTCCAAGCCCGATCCCACACAGGCACTGCAGATGTGTGCCAAGGTGTGTGTGTAATCGGGGGATGTGTGTAATCGGGGGCCAGAGGAGGGGGTGCTGTGAGGAGGTAGCAGGAAGCGTAGTGGCTCTGGGCGTGTGTGGGGGGGGTGCACAGGCACCTTCTCCAGGTCTGCTTCCTGGTCATCACCCCAGCTGCCTGTCCACCTCGGGGGGGGGGGGCCCCACCCCATTTCTTCTTGTCCTTTTTTCTCCTAAGGCTCCAGGCCCCACCACCCCCCAGGCCCCATTCTCTGTCCCTTCTCTCCCAAACTCTGCCCTCAGGCCTGAGCCTACATCCTGGGCTGCCTGCCCACCCTTGGGCACAGTTTTCAGGGTCCCTAGAATCAGAAAGCAAACTTGGTTGATACCCGCTGGGCCCATGATAACCCCTGGGCACACAGTGGTTACAGCGGAGTCCCCATCTCTGGGGACAGAGCCCTCAAAAGGGCCAGGAGTGTCTGCTTCACTCCTGCTCAGGAAAGTAAGGGAGGCGCAGGCTGTTGTCCTGCACACAGGTGGTGCTCAACAGATGCCTTCTCGGGGAGGGCACTGAGAGAAGCAGCTCCCAGGAGCCCATTCCCCACCACTTCCTGGAGCCCTGGGTGAGCCCTGGGTGAGGCGGCCCTGCCCGCCCAGACTTGCCCTGGGGACTTAAGCGGCTTTCCTCCGTCACAGTCATGAAAATCAGCAGGTTGGGATTTGAGAATATGTGGCCCGGTTTCCGCAGATGATCTCCAAGACCACCCCCCTTACTGCCCTCCACAAACAGAGCCAGGGTGAGCCAGTGGGAGACCCCTGAACCCTGGCGAATCATGGTGGGAAGTAGAACAGGCGGCTACACGCAGTCACGCAGTGATGTCAGGATAGCCGTGTAGACCAGCAGGTGGCACGGGGCGGGGGTGTCCTGTGTGTCAGCAGCTGGTCCCAGCCAGCTCCCATTCCCACCTCAAGGTCAGCCTGTGTCCTGCCTGTGTCCCTTGGGCCTTTCCTGGGGCTCAGCACGTGGCGGATGCGCAGTAAGCTTTCTTGGCTGAGGAGGAGGAGGAGGATGGTTTCCAACTGACTGTGCCCCAGGACCCTGGGATCCCAACTTTGCTGGGTACACACTGCTCTGAGCCCCATTCCCACCCCACCTTGCATCCAAACCAAGAGCTTGGGGGCTTGACATGTCCACGCGTGCCCCTGTGATGACACGCATACAATACACTTCCGAGCTGTGCCCCAAATGGGCGCCATGGCCAGCTTGGTGCTACTCCCTACATGGGGGGCCCTAAGATGGGGTGCCCGGGGGCCAACTTGGCATGAAAACCTCCATGCCTCCCCACCCCCACTCCTGGAGGTGGCTCACCACGGTCCACACGCATGTACACACACATGGAGAGACAGGAATCAGCACGGCATTCACAAACACACACACACTCACACACACACACACACACACATCCAGGAGACACGCAGGACCCCCAGGCAGCTTTAACCCGGCTCCCCGCCTGTGCCCACCCGCTGTCTCTCCCAGGCCTGGCACGGCTGAGGAATGTGTAATTACAACCTCCGGGGCAAATGAGAACACAGAGTAAACTCTTTCCCCAACCACAGAGAACCGGGCAGTGCTTGGGGAGGGCACAGCCACGGAACAGCAGTCCCTGCGTGCATGTGTGCGTGTGCGTGTGTGTGTGTGTGTGTGTGTGTGTGTGTGTGTGTGTGTGTGTGACACACACACATGCATGAGTCTGTAGGTGCCTTTGCACTGGGGCGTGCACACTCTGGGTGTGGGTGGCATGGTCGGTAGGAGTGCAGTGCTAGGAGTCCAGAGGTCACCTTCAAGGTCATTGACTCCCTGTGAACCTCTGGCAGCTCAGTTCACCTCCTCGCGTTGCCCCCAGGCTCCTGTAATAGATTTTAGGGGTGCAGGGGGCTGCTCTACAATCCAGACTCTGTGTGTGGGGTGTGTGGGGAACAAGAAGGGGGACAGGTGAATCAGGGCCGGGTGGCCTTGGTGACAACAATGAAGAGCGAATTTGAGAGCCAGAGTCCATTGTGTGATTCCCCACACACCTGGGACTTGCCTCCTGGAAGCCCTCCAAGATTGGCACTGTCATTGTCCCCCATGCCCCCACCCCCATTGGGCCGGCGGAGCAAACTGTGGCTCAGAGTAGTTTCCAGCAGCCTGGCAGCGATGCCCCTTCCCTTGGGGCATTTGGGAAGCTTGAACGAGACCCCACCAGGGCTCAGGGTGGTACTTGGCCTGCTGGCTGCTAACCTGAAAGGTTCAGGCTGCCTGGGCTGTGCAGCCAGATACCTGGACGTGTCTTTTACCTTGGGTGGCCTCAGGCAAGACATTTAACCTCCCCAAGCCTCAGTCTCCTCATCTGTGAAATGGGAATGGCGGCAGCTGCTTCCTGCACGTTATACCTGTGCCTTATACCACGTGTCGTGCCATCCTCCCGTCCTTGATCCGGTGCAGTGGTGACAGCCAGATGTGTCCCCTGACATCAGTGCCCCACATGCCTGGTCTGGAGTCATCCTGTAGACAGGATGAAACTGGGGGTGTGACATGCTTGGACCCGAGCCTGGCTGACGGTGGCTTATCTGGTGACAGCCGTGTAGTCCTTGGACTCTGAGTAAGATCATCATGGGACTTGCCCACGGCTATGCAGCAGCTGACGTCAGACCTCCTATTTTGAGGCTCCCGGAAATCTGGGGAGCCCCTTAGGGGAGAGGGGCTGCAGGCATGTTGTGGAGTTAGAGGGACCCTCCCGGGACCCTTTTGTGGCTTCTGGAGCTTGCTGAGGTGGGGCAGGAGGAGACACATCCCATGTGGCCCCGGGAAGTACCGTGGGCACAGGATTGGCAGCAGGGTGGGGATATACGGTGCCTGATGCTGCTTTTCCTTGCCTAGGGCTCCCAGTAGGGCCGTGCCTGGAAGGATAAGTCCACCTGCCTAGGCCTGTGTCCACCCCGCCCTGTCCCCATCCCCACAGGTGGAGACCGAGCTCTTTTCTCTTCCTGGCTGGGAGGTGGCAGTGCTGAGCAGGTATCAGAAAAAGGAAAGAGGCAGAGGAGGAGGGGTTGGCTTGGCCTGGCTTTATCTTGTTTAAGATCTGTTTCTTTGACAAGCAGAGACAGAAAGGCCTTCCCTCTGCTGGTTCACTTCCCCCAAGTGTACATAGCAGCTGGCTGAACTGGGAACCAAGAACTCCATTCTGGTCTCCTACATGGGTGGCAGGAGAACAAGGGCTTGGGCCTATCCCCCTGCTGCCTCCAAGGCCACAAGCAGGGAGCTGGACCAGAAGTAGAGCAGCCAGGACTTGAACCAATACTCTGATAGGAGATGTCGAGGTTACGAGCAGCAGTGTAACCCGCTGTGCCACTGTGCTGGGCTTTTCTGATGGGAAAACCAAGGCCTGATGGAAGACATGGATAACCATGGCTGAGACAGGAACTAGGACTGTTGGAACCTGAGACGCTGACCCTCCTGCCCCCTTAGGGGACGATGAATGACTGTGCCCCCCATCCGTTGAACCCCTGGGGTAGTGTTGCCCAGGCGTGATCTCTCTGAGAAACAGCGTGACCTCTTCCCTCCACACACAGCTGCGTGGCTGCCTCAGTGTTTCCATCTGCGAAGTGGGGGCCTAGGGAAGAGATGCAGAAAGGCTTCCCAGAGAAGGGGACACAGGTGGGAGTAAGCCAGGCAGGAGCGGGGAGTAGCAGTGCTGTGCAGTGGATTTTATGCACCGGGCAGGGGCAAGGAAAGCTTCAGCTGCTGTTCCCCCAAGGGTAGGACAAGGGTGTGGAGGTGGCGCCAGCTGTGGTGGGGACAGCTGTGTTTGCTGCACACTTGCTTTGTCTGTGGGAAGCAGGGGGTTAATGGTGCTGCTCCTTGTGTACCAGGCACAGTGCCAACTGCCCCCCTTCCCCGCCACCCGCATCCCAGCCAGGGGTGTGCTTCTCCCTTGGGGCATGGATACCCCCCAATTTGCAGATGAGAAACCAAGACTGGGAAAGGCTCGCTGTGGCTCCGAGTGAATGGAGCGTGCATCTGAACGCTGCGCTTGGGGCTCTGGAACTGGCCTGTGGGGTCAGGAGGAACCCCTCTTCCAGGACCAGGGTCTGATGTGGCCTTGCGACCTTGCCTCCCACAGCGTGTGCCCCTGCAGGAGCTGGTGGGGCTGGAGTTGCCAGATCCCTGAATGAAGCTCCTATGGCAGCTCCCGCCCCAGGCCAGAGGCTGACCGCATCTGGGAGTGGCCGCCCCAAGCCCCTGTCATTACAACGGTGGCTTTGAAGCAACTGGCAGTGGTGCTGTTTTCCCATGTAGGGAGGGGGTTTCCTGGAGCCCCCATTACCAACCCAGCACTGCCCAGCTCCTCTCTCACACTCCCCTGCAGGCCAAGCAACGCAGACGGACCTGGGGCCTGGCATGGCGGATCCGGGCGACAGCCCGCGTGCGGGGCCTGGGGAGGCGGGCGAGCCCCCCGGGGATGAAAGCGGCACCGCTGGTGGGGAAGCCTTCCCCCTCTCCTCGCTGGCCAACCTGTTTGAGGGGGAGGATGGCTCTCCGGGACCCTCGCCTGCTGATGCCGGCCGACCCGCTGGCCCGGGTGACGCACGGCCCAACCTGCGCATGAAGTTCCAGGGTGCCTTCCGCAAAGGGGTGCCCAACCCCATCGACCTGCTGGAGTCCACCCTGTATGAGTCCTCAGTGGCGCCGGCACCCAAGAAGGCCCCCATGGACTCACTGTTTGACTATGGTACCTATCGTCACCACCCCAGTGACAACAGGCGCTGGAGGAGGAAGGTTGTAGAGTGAGTATTGATGGCTCCCTGACCAACAGCCTCTTCCGAATCCACCTGTCCATCCATCCACCCACCCATCCATCTGTGCATCTATCCATGGTAGATCACCCAGCACCCCTCCCTGGGTCCTCTCCATTCCTGGGCTTTCAGTAGCTTCCTTGGGGGGGGGTGCACCCATTAACTCTTTCTCTCTCACACAAGAGGTGTGGCTATAAGTGAAGGTGGAGATTGGAGAGAAGCCCTTCCCCCACCCACCTGTGGGACAGACCTAGTTGGGGACAGGGCACTGCAGAGGCTCTGGGAACACCTTGTGTGGTTCCCCCCCTCCTGGCAGGGGGTTCTGTTGAGCTGTGTGCCCCGCAGCCCGGCTTCAGGGGCAAGGGTCTCTGCCTGCTGGAATGTGTGCCCCATCCTGCAGGGCTCTGTCCTTGTAGACCTGGTGCCTGGTGAGGCTGAGCCCTCCCTCCTGGTCCTTTAGGGCGTCCAGGGATGTCTCTAGGAATCTGGCAGTTGACCTCCACTCTGCCTGCCTGAAGCAGTGCCATGTGTGACCCTTTGTAAGTCTCACCTCCTTCCCCTAAGGCGCCCTGAACTGACCCAGACTTGAAAACCAGCCCCTTTCCTTGACAGCTCTTTGAAAACCCCTCCCAGCAACCTCCCAGCCAGGCCTGAGGCCCGCCCAGTCCTCTGGCACCTCTGGCTGATCCTGGCTGTCTGTGCTTGGGAGCGGGGACTAGTCAACGCCCCCTTCCCTGCTGGACTGGGCCCTTTCTTCCTGAATAACGGAGTCTTTGATTTGTTCCTGTTTTTTTTTTTTTTGTAAGGTTTATTTATTTTTATTGGAAAGGCACATTTACAGAGAGAAGGAGAAACAGACAGTTCACTCTGCAAGTGGCCACAATGGCTGGAGCTGAGCTAATTCAAAGCCAGGAACCAGGAGCTTCTTCTGGGTCTCCCAGGCAGGTGCAGGGATCCGAGATTTTGGGCCATCCTCGACTACTTTCCCAGGCCACAAACAGGGAGCTGGATGAGAAGTGGGGCCGCTGGGACGTGGACCAGCACCCATAGGAGATCCTGGCATGTGCAAGGTGAGGATTTAGCCACTGAGCCGTCATGCCAGGACCTTTTCATGGAATTTTTTTTAAATTACCTTTTATTATTATTACTACTTTGTGATACAGCTCCATAGACTGGGATTTCCCTTGCCCTACCCGTAGGTCCCCTCCCCCGACTGATTTGGCCTATATTATTATAATAGCATAGCCTTCACAAGCAGTCCTGATTCCAACATTCTGCTATTTGAGTGTGTCCTGACATTGTAGGTGTCCCTTTTCTTGGATTTTTAAGACACGTTCCTTTAGGGGTTGGCATGGTGGCTCGACAGGGTAATTACTCAACGTGCAGGTACTGGCATCTCATATGGGTGCCAGTTTGTGTCCTGGCTGCTCCATTTCTGATTTAGCTCCCTGCTTAGAGGGTGGCTCAAGTCCTTAAGCACCTGCACCCACATGAGAGACCCGGAAGAAGCTCTCGGCTTCGGATCGACTCAGCTCAGGCCATTATGACCATCTGGCAAGTGAACCAGTGGATACAAGGTTTTTCTCTTTCTGTATCTCTCCTTCTGTCTGTGGATCTGCCTTTCCAATCAAAAGAAATCTCTTTGAAAAAATAGAAATATTCCTTTAAAATATTTATCATAAATAAAATGATTATTGGGCCCGGCACGGTGGCGCAAGTGGTTAAAGGTCCTCCCCTTGCACGCCCGGGATCCCATATGGGCGCCGGTTCTGATCCCGGCAGCCCCGCTTCCCTTCCAGCTCCCTGCCTGTGGCCTGGGGAGGCGGTCGAGGACGGCCCAAGGCTTTGGGAACCTGCACCCGCGTGGGAGGCCCGGAAGAGGCTCCTGGCTTCGGATTGGCATAGTGTCGGCCCGTTGCGCTCACTTGGGGAGTGAATCATCGGACGGAGGATCTTCCTCTCTGTCTCTCCTCTCTGTATATCCGCCTTTCCAATGAAAAAATAATAAAAATAAATCTTTAAAAAAAAAAATAATAATAATAAATAAAATGATTATTGACTATTGTTTTACGATACAGTTCCATAGGCTCTGGGATTTCCTGTTCCCCTTCCTAAGTTCCCTCGCTCCCCCACACTGATTTCCCCTGTAGTATTACAACAGGTGGTCCTGCATGAATAGTCGTAAGGCCATCAGGCCAGTATTGAAGTGTTTCTCAACACTGTAGGCATGGACAATGTTGGAGAGTTCAGTCATCCTTCTGTCAGGATATGTTCAACTGTTTTACTGGAAGTCCATCTTTGGTCTGGTAAAAAATATTGCTATTTACTTAAAGAGCATAGAGACAGGCAAAGAGCTTCATCCCCTGGTTCACTATCCAAAAGCCCTCAAGTTCAGTCAGGGCCAGGCCAGGCTGAAGCCAGGAACCCATGTGAATGGCGGGGTGCAAGCACTGGTGCCCCCTCTCAGGGTGTGCATGAGCAGGAAGCTGGAATTGAAAGCAGAGCTGGGACTTGAACCTGAGACTCATCAGAGGTCTGGTTGGATGCTGGTGGGTGCTGCCCGTCTGGCCCCCTCCCCACTCTTGGATCTGGAGGTGCTGAAGTAGCGTGGTGGTGGGTGGAGGGGAGGTCCCTGGGGACTGGGATATGGCCGTGCATCCAAGGGCTTCAGGGGCACCTCGGGAAGTCTGGCTTTTATTTGCTGGCTCTAAGCCCAGAGTTCAAGAACAGGTTCAGTGGGGGCCGCCCCAGGGGAGGATGAGGACAGAGAGGATTCCTGCACACGTGACACCCTGAGCTTTCTCTCCCAGAACCTCTCACACAGCAGGTGCCCAGTTCATGTTTGTTGGATGACTGAATGAGTGTCTCCAAGCCCTCCTCCTCTTGTTGTCTCTTCTTTTTTTGCTTCCCCTCTGCCAACCCTTCCTTCTACTTACTTCTGTAGTGCAGTGTCCCTTTGTACACATACAAGCTTAGGATGCCCAGGAGGCACTTGCTAATACTAGCCACCTTCTTTCTAGCATCTATTGAGTGCTTAGTGTCTGGTGGGTTTTGGGCTAAGTAGCCATATTTTGAATGTTTGTTGAATGAATAAATTGACTGAGGTATGAAATGAATGAAGGAGATGCTTTGTCTTCTAGACTATGGTTTCTTTGTTTTCTCGTCGCCTCTGTCGCTGCGTCTTTCTTGGGCTTTGGCAAGTGCTTCATAGATGACAAATAGGTGGATGACTGGGTGGATGATGGAAGAAGGGATGGAAGGATGGATGAATGCAAGGATAGAGGGATGGATGGGTGGGTGGATGGATGGATGAGTGGATGGAGGGAAGGATAGAAGGATGGGTAGGTAGGTCTGTGGGTGAATGGGCAGGTGCATGGGTGAGTGAATGGATACGTGGAAAGATGGATGGATGGATAGATGGATGGATGGATGGATGGGTGGGTGGGTGAATGGGTGGGTGGGTGGATGGATGGATGGGTGGGTGGGTAGATGGATGGGTGGGTGGGTGGATGGGTGGATGGATGGGTAGATGGATGGATGGATGGATGGATGGATGGATGGATGGATGGGTGGGTGGGTGGATGGATGGGTGGGTGGATGGGTGGGTGGGTGGGTGGATGGATGGGTGGGTGGGTGGATGGGTGGATGGATGGGTGGGTGGATGGGTGGATGGATGGGTGGGTGGGTGGATGGATGGATGGGTGGGTGGATGGATGGATGGATGGGTGGGTGGGTGGATGGGTGGGTGGATGGATGGATGGGTGGGTGGATGGATGTGTGGGTGGATGGATGGATGGATGGGTGGATGGATGGATGGGTGGATGGATGGATGGATGGATGGATGGGTGGGAGGGTGGGTGGATGGGTGGGTGAGAGCAGGTAGACAGATGACTGGACAAGTGTTGCTTGCACCACGGCTGAGTGAATGCTCACTGTAGTGTGTTGGCTAAAACCTTCCTTGCTGTTTCCATCCCTCCCTCCCTATTCCCCACCTCTAACCCACAGGGCCCTAGGGTCGGGGGCTGTTGGGCAAGCAGGCACCGAGGCCCTCATCATCCTGCTTTCTCACCCCCTCCAGGAAGCAGCCACAGGGCCCCAAGGCTCCCGCGCCCCAGCCACCCCTGGTCCTCAAAGTCTTCAACCGGCCCATCCTCTTTGACATCGTGTCCCGGGGCTGCACCGCCGACCTGGATGGCCTGCTCCCCTTTCTGCTGACTCAGAAGAAGCGCCTGACTGATGAGGAGTTCCGGGGTGAGTCTCCCCAGGGCAGGCTGAACGCAAGGCCAGCCAGGGAATTGCGGGAAGGCCTGGCACTAGGGAACCCCCGCCTCTTTCAGCATGCTCCTGTAAGTGGAAGTGCACTGGTCCAGAAGAGCTCTGGACAGGGAGTCCCGTGCTGCTGGTCCACGTTGCTTACCCTCTCTGGGCCTGTGTTGTCTCCACTGGCTCACGCATGCCTGTAGCCCTTAGGTATGGGAAGGTGGATGTTGTGGGCAGCAGAGTCCACTCACCGGCTGTCAAGGCCCTAGGCACCACTGAGGGAATGGGTCACTTTTAGGAGTCTCAGTGTTGCCATCTGTACACTGGGGGTAATAATAGCCAAGTCCTGGCCTCTGAGGAAAGCTCAGTCCAGACAATGCCTGCAGGAGCCCCACTTCCTGTGATGGGAGCTGGGGGCATATGGGGCATCAGGCTTGGGCTTCGGGCTTCCATTCCTGTGGGTTCTACTCCAGCCATATCCCAGGGGGAATATGTCTCTAGGCTGGGGCTCTGCCCCCACTGCCTGGCTCTCTCCCAGCCCTATGCGCTCACCCTGCAGCCCTGTGTGGCCCCCCGCTGGTGCCCCAGACCTTACCTGAAAATCAGGCAAGTGGGGGAGGGGGAGGTCTGTGAGCGTTGACTGAATTCCATTGCCAACTGCGTGTGTGCCAGTTGAGCCCTAGTGACCCGGCTCAGACTGCAGGCACAGCCTGATCTCAGCCAGCCATCCTGAACCGGGCCCTCCAGACAGCCAGTGGCACAATTCTTGCCATTTCCCAGGGATTCACGCAGTCATGGGCCTGAAGCCAGGTGGGATGGTGGCCCCGGGCAGCGTGGACTGTGTGGGGTACAAGGTGGTGCCCTGCATACATTTGCAGCCTCTCTTGAGAAGTCTGGGGTTTCTGTCCTAGCAGGTTCTGATAGGAGCTTGGGAGTTGGGTCCTTGCAGTTGCAGCTAAGCATGTAAAAGCTGGGGTCCCCATGATTACGAACCCCTCACCTACTAAGCTTCCCGGCTTTGGTTCTGTATTCGTTGCCCTGAAATCCACAGAACCTGGATCTGCCCCTGAGTGTGTTTCTGGCCAGAGGATAATGAGCTCATTCCATTCTACAGGGAGTCTTGCAACCTCCTTCCCCTATCCCCTTTCCTGCCCTCCCCGAAGTTGTGCAACCTGCGTTGTAGCAGGGCCCAGGATTTCAACTGCCCACCGTGGGCAGAACCGCTGCGCCACCTGGTGGCCGAGCCCTGGAACTCCATGTCCCGCCCCAGCTTGGATGATGGCAGCACGTGACATCACATCCCAGGGCCTCTGCCCCAAACTCTGCAATAGCCTATGTGTGGAATTGCAAAAGTCCAAATCCAAGGTCTGGTGCCACTTTGAGTCACCCTATTTCACCTTCATTAAAAGTGCATCACCTTGTCAAATAGATATTGGGCACCCTGCCAGCCTGGCTGGGGCCCAGGACTTCCGACTCCTTGCCCGACTCTGTACCCATGGACACGCAGCTCAGGGCCATGGACTGTATCCCTGCCCTCCCCCCGACAGAGCCGTCCACGGGGAAGACCTGCCTGCCCAAGGCCCTGCTGAACCTGAGCAATGGCCGCAATGATACCATCCCCGTACTCCTGGACATCGCCGAGCGGACCGGCAACATGCGCGAGTTCATCAACTCGCCCTTCCGCGACATCTACTACCGAGGTGCGGCCAGGGCTGGGCGGGGGCGACACGGGGTGGGGCTGTGGAGGAACCATTCTTGCTAGTGAGAATGGATGGCTGGACTGATGGATAAAAGATGAATCAGCTGGTGGATGGATGAGTGGATGGATGGGTAAACGGGCAAATAAATGGGAGAATAATAACTGTTCCTCTCAGCTTTGGTGTTGGAGTCTCTCAGTCCAGGGTTCTGGGGTTCTTGGATGCTTTGAGCCTAGGGATCTGTGAGCTCAGAATCCTGGGTCCGAGACAGGATGGTTCTGGAATCTTGGCGTCTGTAGCCCAGAGAGGCAGCATGAATCCACGCTCCCCGCTTCTGGGTTCTGCGCATCTGTGACTGAGTTGATCTCTCAGCTCTCTGGATGTTAGCATCCAAAGATTACGGGTTTCCCAGATTACAAATGTCAGATTTGGGAAGACCAAAAAATACTGTTGTTTTTCTGTAACTGAAGCATCTGATGAGACTGACAACTATCCTTTGCACTTGGCATTCTCCTGTGTAATGCAGCAGGTCCGGGGATGCCATGCACCCGAATCCCACATCCTCGGACCCGGGCACAGCCCATTTGCTGCCCCCAGGCACAGCTGACTCTCCCCCTTCCCCACCCCAGGCCAGACCGCCCTGCACATTGCCATTGAGCGCCGCTGCAAGCATTACGTGGAGCTCCTGGTGGCCCAAGGGGCCGACGTCCACGCCCAGGCCCGCGGGCGCTTCTTTCAGCCCAAAGATGAGGGCGGTTACTTCTACTTTGGTGAGCAGGGTCCTGGGGGGCGGGTACACACAAGAGCAACCTGGTAACGGAGACGCGGGAACCAGGGTGGCATCTTTAGCCAGGATGACAGCAGCACCTGGAGCCCGCGGGGCCAGATGGCCCCAGCTGGTTCTGCCTCCTGTGCCCATGTGTACCAGGAGAGCTTGGAGTTGGGGATCAGAATTCAAATCCTCACTCCGTTGAGACAGAAAGAAAAAGAGAGAGACAGAGAGATCTTCCACCTGTTGATTGGCCTCCAAAAGGCCTGCAAACAGCCAGTACTGCGCCAGGCTGAAGCCAGGAGCCTGGCACTCCATTTGGGTCTCCATGTGGATGCAGAGACCCCAGCTCTTGGGCCATTACCTGCTGCCTGCCCAAGTTAGCAGGTATGGAATAGCCAAGTCTAGCACCAGGCACTGCCCTACTGGACATGGTGTCCCAAGTGGCAGCTCCGCTAGCTCTCCTGCCCCTGCCCCCTGCACCCACATATCTTAACATGGGGACAGAGGGTCAGGTCACCAGGCCCAAATCCCGTCACTGCTGTGCTGTGTGGGAGGGTCACAGGAAGACCTGAGAACTGTCTTTCCTTCTGTCCTGGCTCCCAGGGGACAGTGTCCCAGGAAGGACTGGTCCCCTCACAGGTCCTTGGCACTCATTATGTCCAAATCACATGGCCACGCTCCTGTATCCCAGCATCACTCATGTGATGGTACAGTCGCCACCTGGTGCCTCTGCCCTGAACTGCAGGTCATACGCGGGTACCCCAGTGTCCCCTGCCCCAGCCCCACCCCAGGGTGACTGACTTCCCCTCCTCCTCTTCCTCCTCGCCCTGTCTGCTGCCCTGCCCATAGGGGAGCTGCCCCTGTCGCTGGCCGCCTGCACCAACCAACCTCACATCGTCAACTACCTGACGGAGAACCCGCACAAGAAGGCCGACATGCGGCGGCAGGACTCGCGTGGGAACACCGTCCTGCACGCGCTGGTGGCCATCGCCGACAACACCCGCGAGAACACCAAGTTCGTCACCAAGATGTATGACCTGCTGCTGCTCAAGTGTGCCCGCCTCTTCCCGGACAGCAACCTGGAGGCCGTGCTCAACAACGATGGCCTCTCGCCCCTCATGATGGCCGCCAAGACGGGCAAGATCGGGGTGAGGTGGAGGTGGGGGCTGGGGGACCCGGGCAACATTGCTCCCCTGCAGACACACGCACGCACACGCACACACACGCACACACACACAAACACAGGGGCTTCAGTTGGCGTTCAGCATTTAAATGTGCGCCCTCCTCCCATCCTGCTGACCCCAGCTCAAGACCCCAGTGGATGGTGCCCTCTGCCTCAGTCCCACCTGAGTCTCAGGGCTCCAGACTTGCTCTGCCCCCTTTTCGGAACTGCTGGGTGGTCTCACGACACCCCCCTGGGCCTCACCACACAGGTCTCAGGGCACGGCACAATTTCTCAGCCTGGGCAGATTCCGTGCCCCCCTGCTATCCCCCGCTCCCCACATGCATGTATTCTGTGACCGCTGAGAGTGTCTCCCAGCTGTCCCATCCGGGAGCCAGCCCAGAGCGGGTGTACCTGTTTTGAGCTCTGTCTCTGCCTCTTCTTGCTTTGTGACCCCAGGCACCTTCTGCCCCTGTCTGTGCCTCAGTTTGCTCGTCTGTAAAGCTGGGGAATGGTAACAGTAAGAGGGGCACAGCATTGCTGGCACCGTCAGAAGAACTGGCCACAGGAAACCCTTGATGAAGAGCCCCCGGGGGTGTGTGGTGAGGGGAAGGGAATGGAAGTCACAAACCCGTAAAAACAAAAAACAGGGCCCAGCAGCGTGGCCTAGTGGCTTAAGTCCTTGCCTTGAATGCGTCAGGATCCCATATGGGCGCCGGTTCTAATCCTGGCAGCTCCACTTCCCATCCAGCTCCCTGCCTGTGGCCCGGGAAAGCAGTCGAGGACGGCCCAAAGCTTTGGGACCCTGCACCCGCGTGGGAGACCCGGAAGAGGCTCCTGGCTTCGGATCGGCATAGCATCGGCCGTTGTGCTCACTTAGGGGAGTGAATCATCGGACAGAAGATCTTCCTCTCTGTCTCTCCTCCTCTCTGTATATCTGACTTTCCAATAAATAAATAAATCTTTAAAAACAAAAAAACAAAAAACAAAAAAAGCAGAGATTACAGTGTCTTCACATGTCACTAAATCCCAGGATCAGAAGTCACAGAAAAGATCTGGCTTCACATTCTGACCTGGTTTTCCTGGGCCGTGTGACCCCATATCTGGGTTTCCCTGGATGCACACCATAGACCAGTAGGTTTGCCATAGTCACTGTTCCCGTCCCGACAAGGCTGGGCAGCAGCTGTGTGGACAGATGCCAAGGGGCAGCCAGGGTGCTCCAGGCTAGCCCTGGGTTCAGCTCCTGCCGTCTTGGCCTCAGGGAGCGCCCTTCCCAGCCCCCACTAACTGCTCGGTCAAGCTCGGTGGTAAGAGTAAGAACCAGGCGCAGTGGCGTGAGGAAGGGGTCCAGCCAACAGCAGGCGCGCCATTCCCGTTCTTCCCTCTCTCTGGTGGGCTGTTCCTCCGGCCTCTGACCTTCCCCCTCCCCCTCCACACCTTGCAGGTCTTCCAGCACATCATCCGCCGGGAGGTGACAGATGAGGACACGCGGCACCTGTCGCGCAAGTTCAAGGACTGGGCCTACGGCCCCGTGTACTCCTCGCTGTACGACCTCTCCTCCTTGGACACGTGTGGCGAGGAGGCCTCGGTGCTGGAGATCCTGGTGTACAACGGCAAGATCGAGGTGGGCATCGGGGAGGAGGGAGCCGGGCAACGGGGCAAGACTTGTGGGAGGGTGGAGGGCAGGGAGGGATCGTGGCCCTGACTCACACACACACACTTCATCCCTAACACCTGGGGCTGGGAGCCAGGAGCTCCATCCAGGTCTCCCCTCCTGTCCCCTGCACCCCCTCCCTGTGAGTGGCAGGGAGGCGCCACCTCCCAAGCTGCGTGTTAGCAGGAAGCTGGAGCTGGGGACTTTCAGCAAAGCTGTGTAGGTCATTCTGCTGTCAGGAATACAGTAACCACTCCCAGGCTGGGATCTGGAGGCCTTAAGAACGTTGCATCTGTGGGTTCCATGGCCCTTGAGTAAGGGCTGCTTCCAGCGCTGAGTGTATTCTGAATATCCACCCCTCCGGATTCGCCATGCATCCTTGGTTTCTAGGGACTGGGTTAGGACACAGAGAATTCTTGGGTGGGGTGGCGCCCAGAAGGCTTGCTGGTGTGGGGAAAGAGGACCACCTCCGATCCCTCGCTGCTGCCTGCTTCTCACAGAACCGCCACGAGATGCTGGCCGTGGAGCCCATCAATGAACTGCTGTGGGACAAGTGGCGCAAGTTCGGGGCCGTCTCCTTCTACATCAACGTGGTCTCCTACCTGTGTGCCATGGTCATCTTCACGCTCACCGCCTACTACCAGCCATTGCAGGGCACTGTGAGTGTCTGCCTGGGACTGGGGCGTGGCAGGGTCCCTGTAGGGCACCTGGGGGAAGGCGAGGGGATAGGCTGGGAGGTGCCACCAGCATCCAGGGCTGTGGCTCTGAGCTGGGATGGAAACCCCAGGGGAGGTGATAGGGGAGGAGACAAGGGCAGGAGATGACTCCAGGGAAGAGAACATCAGGGGGCCTCTGGGTTGGGGGAACAGTGGGGGCAGGGCTCGGAAGCTCTCTTCACTCTTCCCCTGCCCCCACCCCCCAGCCACCATACCCTTACCACACCACGGTGGACTACCTGCGGCTGGCTGGCGAGGTTATCACCCTGCTTACTGGACTCCTATTCTTTCTCACCAGCGTGAGTGCTCCGCCCCCGGCCCCATCCGTCGTCTCTCCTCCACTCCTCCCCGCCTTGCACCTTCTCCCAGCCCTGAAGTCCATCACCCTTCGAGGCCTGTTCCCAGTCTTCCTCCTGTCCCTTCTACTCTCCTCCCCTCCTGACCCCGCCGCCTCCCCCTCTTCCAGATCAAAGATTTGTTCACCAAGAAATGCCCAGGGGTGAACTCTCTCTTCATCGATGGCTCCTTCCAGCTGCTCTAGTATGGAGAGAGGTTTTCCGGGGGTGGGGGGGCGGCAGGGCGGGGAGGGAGGGCGTGATGTGGGGGTTGGCCGGGAGGTTAGTCAGCTGTGGGAGAGGTATCTCTGATCGAAGGGAATTCACTGGACAGCTCTAGCCCCAGACCATGCCACAAAGCCAAGGCCAAGGAATAGGGTGCTCTGGTTAAATAAGTACAAGGTGTTGCAGCTTAAGCCTCTGCCTGCATCACCAGCATCCCATGTGAGCACAGGTTCAAGTCCCAGCTGCTGCACTTCCAACCCAGATCCCCGTTAACGCTCGTGGGGAGGCAGCAGAGGAGGGGCTGAGTCCTTGGGCTGCTGCACGCCTGTGGGAGACCCGGATGGAGTTCCAGGCTCCCGACTTCAGCCTGACCCAGCCCTGGCTGTTGTGGCCCCTGGGGCAGTGATCTTTCCAAACTTTTTTTTTTTTTTTGAAGAAGCGGTGTGGGGACACGTGTGTCTTGCCGAGGCCTCACAGTCCCCCTCTCTGCCCTTTCCCGCCCGTAGCTTCATCTACTCCGTGCTGGTCATCGTCTCGGCGGCTCTCTACCTGGCGGGGCTCGAGGCCTACCTGGCTGTGATGGTGTTTGCGCTGGTGCTGGGTTGGATGAACGCATTGTACTTCACCCGTGGGCTGAAGCTCACCGGCACTTACAGCATCATGATCCAGAAGGTGCCACCTGCGGCGGGGGGTAGTGCGGAGGGCAGGGGATACGGCCAGCTCTTGTGTCCCGCGGTGGGGGGAACCAGCAGCACACATCCTGTGCTGCTTGAAGATGTCCCCAGACATGAGGACTCAGGGCTGCTGGCTCACGCTGTGTGACCTTGAGGACAGATGGGCCGAGAGGCGGGCAGGGTCTGGGATGCAGTTGTGGGAGGCCAGCCAGCAGCCAGCAGGAGTCTCGTTTTTGTCTCTTCCCTCACCGCCGCCCCGGCTGGGGTCTTCAGATCCTCTTCAAAGACCTCTTCCGCTTCCTGCTCGTCTACCTGCTCTTCATGATCGGCTATGCCTCAGGTGAGCCCAGGGGACGTGGGCCCTGCAGAGGTGGGTGAGGACTGGAGCAGTAGCCACGGTCAGGTTGAGGGCCACAGTAGCAGGTGTCTGGGGGTCTTCTCTGTGGGCTGGGCACAGGGCTGAGTATCACATCTGTCCCCCCAACTCAGGTGCCATGTAATAACCGCCTTATCCCCTTGCATAGGTGAGGAGCCGGGGGTTTAGAGAAAGTTCAGTTATTTGTCCAAGTTCAAAAGCAGGGATGTGGGCACCCTAACGTATCAGCCACGACTGCAAGGGAAACCCTCCAAAAATGTAGTAGCTTAAGACAACAGCCATGTGTTTTGAAGAAGTTGTATTCATTTAATTGAAGGAGATATGGGGGCTGGGGAGGGGGTCTCTATTGGTTCACTCCCCAAGAGGGCTGCAGCAGCCAGGACCGTTAGGAATTTAGCCACCATCCCAGACCTCTCCTTAATGCCCGGGATGTGCCCTCTGTAATAGCACCACCTCCTCCGTGATGTCATGGCGTGGCTCTGAAGCATGCTGGGACATCCATTGGCATAGGCGCTGAGGGAAGGATACCCATGGGGGAGTGGCCAAGTCTTTCAGCTGGTCCCCAAGGTGGAAGAGAGGCGAGTGACCTGCTTGCTGTCAGTGCACGGCATCTGAAGAGGGGTGCCCCACCCCCAGCCTGGCGCAGGCCACGTTCCCATCTGAGCAGGTGCCTGTGGGGCACCACCATGCCAGCAGGTGTTTCACGGGGGTGATAGTTTAACCCACGTGATACCAGGGTATTGGGGACAGAGTTGGCTAGGAAGACAGGGACGACATTGAGCTTCTCTTCACCACTCAAGGGGTAGCGCTGAGAAGAGCTGGGCAGCAAATGAGGGGTTCAGCTGGAGGTTGTGGGGATCAGGAGAGGGGTCCCAGTCCTCCTACAAGTCCTAATTGTGGAAACGGAGACAGGAGCTTGGGAGTTAAAGGAGCAACTCCGCTTGTTCCCACTAGGGTGCGCCAGATCTCGAGTCTGAGCCTGGCACAGCCCCAGTTGTGGCCAGGGCAGACACTGCTAATGGATCACAGAGGTGCCCAGAGAGCCCTGCTCCACACAGTGGTTTAGCTCCCACCTCAAAAAGAAGCAGGGTGTACGTGTGTGTGTGTGTGTAGTGGTGATAGCATAAGAGAGACCATGAGTGAACAAGCAAGTCACCATTGCTTGTTCCCAAGACCACTAAGAGGCACTGCACTACCAACCTCTGGGGCCGGGTGCTTCCGTGTGCACATGGAAGAGATGTCCAGTGCCCTGCAGGGTGCTGAGCAGTGCCCCAGGCCGGTACCCACCTGGCTCTAGACATTGCCAAATACCCCCAGGGGCTGCCTGGGGGCTGAGGATTGCACCCCCTCCCCAGTCCTCCAGAACCGGGTCACCTCTGCCTGAACAAGGCAGTGCATGGGATCAGGGCCGAGGCTGCGGGGCCACCGGCTCTGCCTCCGCATGCCCTTCCCGACTCAGCAGAGGCCGCCCCCACCCCTCCCGCAGCGCTGGTCTCCCTGCTGACGCCATGCGCCAACCTGAAGGTGTGCGATGAGGCGCAAGGCAACTGCACGGTGCCCACGTACCCGGCGTGCCGCGACAGTGAGACCTTCAGCACCTTCCTGCTGGACCTCTTCAAGCTCACCATCGGCATGGGCGACCTGGAGATGCTGGGCAGCGCCAAGTACCCCGTGGTCTTCATCATCCTGCTGGTCACCTACATCATCCTCACCTTCGTGCTGCTGCTCAACATGCTCATCGCCCTCATGGGCGAGACCGTGGGCCAGGTGTCCAAGGAGAGCAAGCACATCTGGAAACTGCAGGTGAAGCTTGCAGCACTTCCTCCCACCAAGCCCCTCCCTCCCACCAAGCCCCTCCCTCCCATCAAGCCCCTCCCTCCCACAAGATCCTCCCTCTCACCAAGCCCCTCCCTCCCATCAAACCACACCCTCATCCCCCAGTAGTCCAGTTAGGCAGACCCCATCATGCCAGGCTGCCTCCATTTCCCTGTCCGTGTGATGGGCACCCCAAGGCTGCTCCCTCCTTGCCAGAGCTGCTTCAGGACTCCAAGGCAGACTTTCTGCCCGCCCTTGGACTTGGTGCCTGTGGTCCAGCTTGAAGGTGCAGCCAGCATGGCTTAAGACACAGCCAACCTCAGAATCTCTTGGGCCATTGGCTGTGCTGCTGTAGCACACGTGGGCGCCGTGGTTTGTCGGAAGGACCAGTGTGCCTGGCTTACTGGCTTGGAGGCTGGGAGCGGGCATGAGCAGGTGCTGGCATGGGCTGAGGGCTGCTCTCCATGCAGCGACTTGGCAGTGGGCATCCTCTGGGCACTGGCTCCAGTCTCTCTTCCTCCATGTGTGACACCACCAGTGCCATCCCTGGGGACACTGGTCACCTCCCACACCCTGGGGGACACATCCCAGCCCCTGTACCTGGGCCTCCACAGGGGCCCCTATGCTGAGCCTAGCATCTTCTCAGTCCCAGCCTGACCCAGGGGACAAAGCTGGCATGGGGCTGGGCCACACCAGCACTGAGTTGACTCTGGGGGCTTTTATCTTTAAATTTTAGTTTGAGCAGATGTAAGAGCATCTCACATACTGACAGGAGGACATGTGATATTTTTGTGTAAGATTTTTGTGTTCATTTTTTTTTTTTAAATTTGAAAGGCAGAGTTACAGAGAAAGGAGGAGAGACAGAGAGAAAGAAAGGCTTCCATCCACTGGTTCGCTCTCCAAAATAACCACAGTGGCTGGAGCTGAGCTGATCCAAAGCCAGGAGCTTCTTGCAGGTCTCACACATAGGTGCAGGAGCCCAAGCACTTCGCAAAGCCCTAAGCGGGGAGATGGATTGGAAGTGGAGCAGCTTGGACTCAAACTGGCACCCGTATGGGAAGCCAGCGCTGCAGGCAGACACTTAACGTGCCACACCATGGTACTGTTCCCCCATATCCATCAGGGTTCACGTGCCTGACCCCTCAAACACTGGCCGTATGCTCTGTTGGGGGAGGGGGCTGGCTGTAACCAGCTCAGTGGTGGCTCTAGGCCCTGCTCCCGCCGGGAAGCTCACCTCTGCACAGCCCTGGTTAGTCCCAGGGGACCACTGCCTTTACCTCCCACGAGGTTTTCTGCCGCCTGAAAAGCAGGTGTCTGCTCCCGGACAGGTGCAGCTAACATACCCGCCGCGTGGAGCCAGCGTGGGGCCTGTGAGCAGGGGTAGCCCATGTTTCCTCAGACTCTGCATCTGCTCTGAGCCTTCACCCCTAGGACTCAGGTCCCTCGGCCTCAGTTTCCCCTCTGGGTATAAGTCTAAAGATGTAGATTGGTAGGTTACCGGCTGGATCTGATGAGCCAAGTTTTTTTTTTTTTTTTCCTCCCTGTGGTCTGCCATTCTTTTTTTTTTAAATCATGAGTTGCTTTTATTTATTTATTTTGAAAGGCAGGGAGAGAATGAGATGCGACTGGTTCACTCCTCCCTGACCCTTCCATGCCAAACGTCCACAATGTTATTGCTATGCCAGGTGGAAGCCAGACGCCTAGAACTCCATCTGGATCTCCCACACGGGGGCAGGTCCCAGGCACTTGGGCCATGCCCCGTTGCTCTCCCAGGCACATCAGCAGGGAGCTGGATATGACTATCTTGGAGTTGCGGGCGGTACCTTAACCTGCTGTACCACCGTATTGGCCCTGGACTGCCATGATTTCAGACAAGTTCATGGACAGTCTCAAAGACATTGCCCATAGATTCCTGGCTGGGAAATGCTGGAAGCCTGACAGCATGGGGCCCCACCTTCCTGCCTGGCCATCCCGCAGGGAGGGCAAGCCGTGGTCACCCCTCCACATGGGACACTTGCTGCCTGCTTGGCTGCAAACCTCACCCTTCCCTAAATGACCCGAGCATGACGTAGCAACTGCCGTGTCCCGGGCTGCAGCCTTTCCAGACCCAAATCTGCACCACACGTTGGTTTCCTGCTGTGCACCTGCGGGTACCGGGATGAGCAACCCAGCTTCCAGGGCCAGCGGGAGCTTCTCGGCCTTCCCATAGCCCGTCGCCTGGGGTGTCCCTGGGCAGTAGGTGGGGGCCAGGGGAGACTCACCATCTGCTTCTCTCCCCGCCTGCCCGCCTCCCCGCAGTGGGCCACCACCATCCTCGACATTGAGCGCTCCTTCCCCGTGTTCCTGCGGAAGGCTTTCCGCTCCGGGGAAATGGTGACCGTGGGCAAGAGCTCGGATGGCAGCCCGGACCGCAGATGGTGTTTCCGGTAAGGCCTGTGGGCTGTGGTGGATCCCATACCCTGTCTTCTGGCTCCTGCCCATGGTAGCTCCTAGAGCCATGAAGGGCCCCGATGAGTACCACCAGGGTTCCATTCTACTTGGTGGTCTTAGGCAAGCTGGTTGACTGTTCTCAGGGTCAGTGTGTTCATCTGTGAAATGGGAGCAAAAAGAGTACCTTCCCCAGCAAGCACGGAGGGAGGGTTGGCCAATGCCTGTGATACGTGCACTGGGCTGCCCAGTGGCTTTTTGGGGAGACATGGAGACAGAGCCTCCCCCTCTGCCCACCTAGCAGTGGGGTGCATGGGGGTGCCGTGGTTAAAATGGGGAAACTGAGGACTCAGCAGTTCCCAGGGCTCAAGATCTTACTCAGTCTGTCCCACAGTGTGATTCCGTGTTCTGGCTACAGGGGATGTGCCAGTTCCCAGGGGGGCCTCTCAGAGAACCTTCTAAGGGAACTGACATTGTTTTCCAAGATTTATTTATTTGAAAATCAGAGTAACAGAGAGAGAGATCTTGCATCTGCTGGTTCATTCCCCCGAATGGCTACAATAGTCTGGGCTGGGCCAAATCCTGCTCAGTAACCTGGGCTTCTTCCTGGTCTCCCACATGGATGCGGATTGCACTTGGGCCAATCCTCACTGCCTTCCCAGGTGTATCAGCAGGGAGCTGGATGGAAAGTGGAACAGCTAGGACTTGAACTGACACCCAATGTGGGGCCTCAGTGCCTCCTCTGTGAAGCAGGAACAGCCAAAGTATTTTTCTTGCTGAGTCCTAACACACAGCTGCTCTTCTGGCCCAGCCATGAGCAGTTCTGGGACTAATTTGGATCAAAAGGTTGCAGCCTCAGATTACCAAACTGTCCTGATAGAAATGGGGGGATGTAGTCGAGACAGAGGGTGTCCATGAACGCATGAGTGCAACAAGAAAATGCGCTCTTCTCCACCTCCACAGAGCGGGATGTTATCTGGCCTAAAAAAGGCATCAAGTTCGAGTGCACACTTGATGGGTGAACCTTGAAAACATGCCCCTGAGTGGAAGGGGCCGGGCTCACAATGGACGAGTGATCCCACACACGTGAAATATCCAGAGGTGACAAACCCATGGAGACAGGCTGTTCGCTAGCAGGTGCAGGCGTGTGGGGCAGCAGTTACGCCGTGTCTTGGGATGCCCACGTCGCGTATCACAGTGGACGCGATGTGGAACTCGGTGGATTGAGTTTCAGTTCCTCCACTTCCCATCCAGCTTCCTGCCGATGCACTCCCCCTGGGGAAGCCCCAGCACTCGGCTTCCCGGATGGAGTTCCTGGGCTTCCGGCTTGGCCTGGGCCCCGCCCTGGTTATTGTGGGCCTTCGGGAAGTGAATCAGTGGCTAGAAGATCTTTCCAATAAAATGTGTGTTAAAAATGTTGATTAGCAGTTTCTGGAGGCTAGTAGAAGGTGGGGGAAGGGAGGAAGTTGTTGCTCCCTGGGGGAGACAAATAGTATTTGGGCCGACAGAGAGTTCTGGAACTAGGCCAGGGTGATGGCCACAAAATCACAGGGAGCAGTGGCAGATCTTGTGGCTTCTACGTGTTTGCCCAGAATACAGACAGCAGCAGCAGGTGTAGGGGGAGCATCGTAGGGAGCTGTCTCCAGGGGCTCACCGCATTGCTCAGCTTGCCAATTGTCTGCTCTGGCCCCACCAGGGTGGACGAGGTGAACTGGTCTCACTGGAACCAGAACTTGGGTATTATCAATGAGGACCCGGGCAAGAACGAGACATACCAGTATTATGGCTTGTCGCACACCGTGGGCCGCCTCCGGAGGGGTGAGTGTCCACAGGCTCCGGGCCGGGAGGGGCCCTGGTCTGCTCCTGTAACCCATTTGCTTCGAGCTGTCTTAGCTCCTTTCTGGGAGGGACTCAGTGGCCATGTCTGTAGAATGGGCGGGTGAGAAGGCTTGACTTTGGGGCTCCCCAGGGCAGCTCCCCTGTGTGGCTCTGTGACGGCAACAGGGTTGGGCAGTGGGCTGCTGGAGGAAGGACATGATCCCAGGGGCACTGAAGTGTCCAGAAGCTCCTTTTTCTCCCACTGATTGGTGAGTGCTGGAGGCGCCATGGGTGCTCCAGGAGTGCCCAACGAGGCTCCAGTTCCTCCCACTCCTCCACCCCTCCCACTGCCCAGGTGCCCCCTGGTGGGCACTGTCGCCTCGCAGCCCATTTCTGCCTCTGTAAAATGGACATTTAGGTCACCACAGAGTGCCCGGTACACATGCACATCTGTCTCCTCCCCTCACCCCTCCCGCCTGCCCCCTGCACAGACCCCTGGTCCTGCAGTACACAGCAGGTGCTCATGGCATGCTTGTCTGTCTCCTCCCCTCACCCCTCCCGCCTACCCCCTGCACAGATCGCTGGTCCTCGGTGGTACCCCGTGTGGTGGAACTGAAGAACAACTCGAACCCCGACGAGGTGGTGGTACCTCTTGCGCACTTGGGGAACCCCAGCTGCCCCGGGCACCCGCAGAGTTACTCCCCACAAGTGGCGAACTGACAGTGTCACCCCCAGTCCAGGGGCTGTGGGCAGGGCCCGGTCTCCCATCTGCAGCCTGACCCAGCCCCTTTACCTGCCTGTCCTAGTCCACCTGCATTGTTGCAGCACCTCCCAGGTCCCTGTGACCCCCCCAGAGGCGAGGGCTGATGGGGCTGCGGGGCTCCGCTCCCCACCCAAGTACAGGGCTCCTGGCCACTGGCCTCACTCCCATGGAGTGACATCAGCCAACATCAGGACCCTGCCCCCCACCTCGGGCAGACCCGTCTGCCTCTCCATTATTTATTTGCTCTGCTCTCAGGAAAGCTGTGTGACACATCCCCCCACTGCACCCACCCTCAGCTGGACACTGGCAGAGGCCTGAAGATGCTGTGCCAGCCGCACTGCCTGGCTGAGTCTCTAGCCCCATCCTATGGCCACTCCCTGTGTGGGGAGAGAGGTGGTCCTCGGAGTGGGGCCACTTCCCTGGAGTGTGTGGGCTTCATCGGTGCTCAATAAATGGTTCATTTGTTACCAGTGGAGATGCTGGGGGGAGGCTGACACCCAGGGCTGCAGATGTCTGTGGTGGGACGAGAGTGGCAGGAGGGACAGGGGTTGTGGAGGGTATCAGCAGGTACGATGCTGGGGGCAGGACGGTGAGGATGGCAGCAGTGGCCTGTGACATGGGCTGTGATTGGCATGGTCCTAGGGGTGGGCAGAGAGGAAGGGGAGGGAGGGGAGGACTGGGGAACATGAGGTGTGCCCCCTACAAAGGACAGAGATGCTCCGATGGCAGCCCTGGGCATGGCAGAGCAGACATGGGGATGGCTGGCATGGGGTGAGGGACAGTGGTGGTGGCCCTCGTGGACCGGGACTCACACTGGGAATGTAAGGCACTCCCTGGGAGCCCGTCTTCCTGCTCTGGCCTCGGGAGTGCCCTCTCCAGAGCTGTGAGCACCAGCCCGGAGCTGCAAACAGACCCCGCCCAGGCCCTCCTCCCAGGTGATGGTGGCTGATTTTTTTTTTTTAATTTTTATTTTTGTTTAGTGTTTCTGGATCTAAGACATGCCCACATCCATTACTCCAACAGAGATGTAGAAAAGGCATCTTTATCTGTTATCTGACCACCCACCTATCTGATAATATAGCAGGTGCCGTGTGGCAGCAGGCTGCAGCTTCCAGCATTGAGGACGGCAAAGGCTGTGTCCCACCTGAAGGTCTTTGGTGATTTCAGCGATCCTCAGTTTGAGATGCACCTGCTGGGGCTCCCTGGGTCAGCACTGGATGTGGTTTCTAGAATCCCAAGATTAGCCACTGGGCGTCGCTGTGGTCACACTCAGGGAAACTTGCAACCTGAGGCTGTGATAACTCCCAGGTGTGACCCCAGCAAGGGGAGAAGGGGCCTGGGCTTCCTCCCTCTGAGCCTCTTTCCTCTTTTTTTCAGAGCAGGAAGCCCACCCCCGGGCCTCTAGGGCGGCTTCCTGCCTTTCTTTTTGGGCCTCCGCCTTCCTTCATTGCCTAGGTAGATGTGGTGGGCCAAGGCCTGCCAGGCTGTGGGGGTCCCCAGGAGTGAGGCCCAGTGGGTGCAGGTCAGGGGTGAGTCCAGTCCTTAAGCTGTGAGTCCTCATGTTGGAGTTGGGGAAACTCGAGGCCCCAGGTACAACATGAGGAGCGTTTCCCGGAGTCCACTTGACCTCTTGGGGTGTGCATAGGCAGGAGCACAGATGCAGGGGACCCAGAGAGCAGGGTCAAAGCCAAGAGGGTCTCAGCTGCAGGACTTGCCACAGCCTTTGCTGCTCTTGTGGGATTGGCACGTCTCCCACAGCGGGGCTCTGCTTCCGTTTCTCAGACTTTTCTGATCCGGAAGCACTTCCCAAAGAGACTAGAGGTCAGCCGGCCTGCACCGGACCAGCACAGCCAACTTCCCTGCCCTCCGGTACTTCCTGGCCTAGGACAGCGTTGACACCCCAATCTCCTGCAGGTTCAGCTGTGCGTGGCCCTTCAGACGCTGTCATTCAGACGGGGCTGCGTCCATGTGAACCCGTCGGAAGTTGGAAAGACACTGAATGTGATTGGGGAGGTCCCTGCCACAGGGAAGATTAGCAGCCACTGCCCTCTCTCCCTCCCCCGGCCTCTGTCTTGGCCAGCTGCTGCTGGTGGTGACTTTGTAGAGGAAGGCCTCCTTTCCCTGCGAGTTACTCACCCACCGCCCTGGGCCACTGAGGGAGCACGGTGGGCTGGGGCCGGGCGGGATGTGTGTGCAGAGGGGAGGGGTCTCAGCACGCAGCCACGCGCAAGCGCCGTGCAGCGCAGGTGGAGCCGGGCACAGGTGCAGCGCAGCGCGCATTTTCAGAGTAAGGCTCACAGCGCGGGGAGTAGCTGCGGGTTGGAAAGTTGCTCGCTTGAGGTCACATTCAGGAGTTGCTGCCTGGCCTGGCTTTCTCTTCCTGGAAGACTGCAGCGTGGACTAAGGGTGAGGAGTCACCCCAGAAAGGTGAGTGTGCCCTTGTTTGTGTCCCAGCCTCACGCCTCCTGGGCAGCCCTGAGTGGTCTGCCATGGCTGTCCTAGCAGTGTGTGTGATGGTAACAGACCTGGTAACGTGCCAGCCACACCTGGCAAGGGCGGCTGCGAGCTGGGGTCTTAGAGTCAAAACAAGGGAGGCCCACGGGGGTCGGGGGAGCATGGCAGCTATGGTGGACCCAGGGCTTAAGATGGCGGCCTCTCCCCTCTGCCTCCTCCCTCTGCCGCAGTCAGGCAGCTGGGCCGTGGGCTGAGGGCGAGAGCCAGTTGGGCCACCTTTGGTTGCTGGCTGTTCTTGGTCTGCCCTGGCGGCACTGCAGAACCCAGGCTGGACCCTGACTGGATTGACCTCTTGAGTCCTGCTGCAGTGGCAAGGCAGAGGGAGGCCCAGTGAGAGGGTGGGACTCGGTTTCCCCAACGGGAGACTGGGGGGGTGGAGAAGGGGACCTGTGCTGTGCCCCCTGCCCCGGGGCTGCCTCAGCTGTGCGGCCTTGCGGAGTGATTGCCCTTCAGCAGCTGCAGCTGGAGCGGAGTTCTCACACCTGCCTTGCGCCGAGGGGGCTGACCGCGGAAGCCGTGGCCCGGGGTGTTCCCGCAGTGGTGTTTCTGCTCTCGCAGTGGTGGTTCTGCCCTGCCTGTGTGGTGTTGAAGGTGATTATACAGAGACAGGGGCTACTCCCAGAATGGGTACACTGAGGCCCAACGAGAGGAGCTGGTTGGGGCACACGGGGCATATGTGCTGGGACAGGGCGTGAGCTTCAGCTGGGCTTGCGGGCAAGGTCAGTCTGTGCCCTTGTCCACAGCTCCCGTCCTGCAGAGCATCACGGGGCTTGGCCCGGGTCAAAGTTGCGAGGGCAGGGGAGGGTGTTTCCAGTAAGTTGATAGAGGATACACGGACTCAGGTGGCCCAAGCTCCCACACAGAGCTTGGGTAATTCCAGTGGAACCACCTGCGATCTGCTGGGCCCCAGGCCATGGTCCAGCCCTAACCCTAGGCCCTCTGGAGCGCTCACCCTGGAGTGGGGGTGAGGCAGTCTCCTTAGATCCTCTCTCTGTCCCCTTTGGGATTGGACTGGTTCAGGGTCCCTTGGGGTAGCCATGCGTGGGGTGTCACCCACGTCCAGCAAGGTGTAGAGGCCGGACCTAGGTTTCTGGCCTCGCTGTGAGGGCTGCCGTCTGTGCCCAGTGAGGCGGGGAGCTGCTGCGTGTGTGCACAGCGCAGACGCCTCCTCCTGGCTGCCCTCTCACTGAGTGCCGTGTCTCCTTTCGCTCCTGCAGTAGGGAAGGATCTGGCTCTTGCTTTCCACACGGTCCCCAATTCCTCCCAACAGGATTGGGAGGAAGATGTGGGGCCTTTGCTTGCTATGTTGCCTGCCCCTGAGTCTGCCATTCCAGGCACCAGGGTGAGGTTCTGTGCACAGGCGGGTAGCCTGCCCAGTCTGGGAGTGTCTCCCGGCGGCCTGTGACCCAAATGTCAGGCAGAAGCCAGGGGACAGGAGGAAGCCACATCAGGGACTTTGCTGCAAGATGATAATCAGGTCGTCCTCTGAGTCTGTTCTCTCATCCCCACCCTGCCCCTAACATGCATGCACCTTGACACAAGGGGACAGAGAGGCTGCAATGAGATTTGGTGCCTAAGCCCAGCAATCAGGGCCCCATCATGGGGACAGGCAGAGGTGAATATGTGATAGGGCTGCCCAGGGAGTTGGCTGCTGCCCAGCCACGCTGCTAATGCCAGAACTTGATGCACCCAGGCATAGAGGAGGAGTTGGCGCATACAGCAAGTGAGGCAGAGGGGCCTGGGCCGGCTTGCCTCTCTGTCGATCCCTGGCCGTGACCCAGTGGCTGTCCCTATGGACAAGATCAATGGCAGTGCCCACTGACAGCAACAAACAGCAAAGGCTGTGAGCCCCAGGCGCAGGGTCCTTGTGGGCTCCTGGCCTGCTCCCCTCCTCGGAGGGGACCCAGAAGCAGGTACGCGGAGGAATCCAACAACCGAGAGACCACTGCTTTCCTTTTTTTCTTTCTCTTCATTTTTAAAACAATATAGTGCCGACCGCACTTCTCACAGTAGAATATAATGGTCAATTTTAGTATAAAAAAAAACATTCTCAGAGATTTGTAAATGCACTTAGTGCTTGAACAGGCCTTGGAGAGATACAGTACCGCTGCTGGAGCGCCGGGCTAGGGGAGGGGCCCACGGGGAACTTGAGGCCTCGGGATGTTCACAGGGGACCCCCGCCTCCCGTGGATGATGTGTGGCTGGCCTGGGCGGGGTAGTTGGCAGCAAAGGAGCTGCAATGGGCTTTGCTCCTCTCACTGCCAACCCCAGAAGGCAAAGCACGGCTCCTGTGTGCGGGCTGGAAGCCTGCGGGCCCACCGCGGCCCCTGGGGTGCCGTTGTGCGACTCAGAACACGATGCCCCTGCCTTCAAACGCGGGCAACTATAATAAATATACAAGTCTGGGATGCACGGGGCGTCTCCTTGGACCTGGTGCCTGCACACCTGTGCCCAATGGCCCTGGGAGGGGGCTTGGGAAGGTGTGGAGGGTATGGGGTTCTATGTGAGAGGGGACTGCGAGTTGGGGAGACCGGGGAGGGGTTTGGACAGTCTGAGGGGAGCAATGGGGTCTGGGTGGTGGTCGCCTGTTGACAGGGTCCCATGACTTCCTAGCGGGCCTTGTTGCTCCTTGTCCAGGCGGCCGGGCAGCGTGACTCTACACTGTCCCCCTTTGTCCTGCATCCCAGTGTGGCCCGAGCCCCTTGCCCAGGAGACCCAGAGGAACCACCCCTGCCTTGAAGGGGTGTGTCTCTCCCTGCTGCTGCCAGCCTAGAGGGAGAGGCGGATTGCAGCAGTGGTGGCTCCCAGACCTTCGCTGGGATGCAGGGCAGGAGGGGCAGGTGCCCTGGTGTGCAAAGTCACCCTGACTTCCCCCACCTGCCAGCGGCAGCAGTGACAAAACACAGCCGGCCTGGCTTCCCTGCGGGCATCTGTGGGCACAGAGCTGGGCTAGACATCCCTGCTGTGCCTCCCTGCCTCCCGGAGCGCCCTGTCCGTGTGGCCACCACTGGGCAGCCCTTATCTGTAGACGGGCAGGCGGATGTGGGCATGTTGGTGGTCGAGCAGCCGGGGCACCGCCACCGTCTCATAGCCCTTGCCAAGCATCTGTTCCTTGATGCAGGGCGGTCGGAGGTCGCTGATGAGATACTCAAGCGACTGCAGGCTGCTACTCAGCACCGACGTGTTGCACGCGCTCTTGCTGGGCAGGCCCGAGAGCGCAGCAGCCGGGGGTCCTGCGGCCAGCTCGCGGACGGTCCCCGGCCCCAGCTCGGTCACTGCTGCTGCAGCTGCTGCCACCGCCGCGGGGTTGTAGCAGTCACTGGTGGGAGTTACCAGCACGCTGTTCCAGGGGGCGGCAAAGTACTGGCCCACGGTGAAGCCGGCAGGCAGTCCCATGCTGCAGTTGGGTGAGCCGCTGGCCCGCTCATACACCCGTCCCCCACACGTCTCAGGGGACTTAGCAGTCACCGTGCCACTGCTGCTGCTGTAGGCGCGTAGCGGCTGTGGCGGTGGCGGCGGTGGCGGCTTCTGTGGCCACAGCAGATAATCCAGGCCACCATCTGTGTACCCTGCGGGCTTGGCCGCCCCAGCCAACGTCAAGGCTGGTGTGGCTCCCTGGCCTAGCTCCGCACCTTTGCGGCAGTCAGGTAGCCCGGCAGCCGCTGAGTAGGCCACGCTGGGGAAGCTAGGTACTGGGCCATGCTTGGCCGGGCTGGGGTGCGGGATGGCCACGCCCTGGCAGGCTGCAGGTGCGGCCCCCGGTGCCTGGCACTGCTGGTTGAGCTGGTAGAGGATGCTGTGGATGGAGGGCAGGTTAGAAGGTGCTAAGGGCAGACCCCGGCCTGGCAGGGGGATGACGGAGGCTGTGGTGGCAGCCGCAGGCAAGCTGGGTGGTGGGGCAGGTGCCTCAGGTGGCTTGGGGTAGGCCAAGGGCCCCAGAGTGCTGGGTGCTGGATAGGGCGCAATGCCCACCTGCACGGTGGCCGGCGACAGCTTAGTCCGCTTGCCCTCAGCATTCTTGAGCACGCCTTTGGTGGGTCCAGCAGGTGCAGCCACACTGGAGGAGGAGGCTGCGGCCTTGACAATGGCCAGCAGGCCCTGGTAGCCAGCTGTGGCATGCTGCGGGTAGGGGCTGTAGCGCTGGCCACTGGTGTCATAGCCATTGACGGTGCGGCCAAGGTGCTTGTGCTGGGGCACCCGGATGTTAGTGGGGAAGATCTTGACGGACAGTGGGCTGTTGGCCACCTTCTCAGCATAGGCGTCCAGCTCAGCCGGGCTTGGGTAACGGGATGAGTGCATGGAGCTGGCTGCCGTCTCGCCTGTAAGGACAAAAGCATAGAATGAGAGCAGAACCTGAGGCCACACCTGCCTGGCTCCTTTCAGGAACTCAGAGGCTGTCCCACCTCCCCTGTGTTCATTCGTTTTCCACCACTGTTTCCCAGCTTTGGATCCAGTGCATACTGCACCCATCATAAACTTGGCCAGCTTTCCCCAAAGAGACATGTGCATAGAGCAGTGGCCATATCAAAGGACAGGGTCCCCTCCACTGAACACGCCCCCTCCAGGGGGAATGAGGGGCATTTGGTCCCAGCAGTGTGCCAGTGACTGGCCCTCAGCCTACTTGTCCTCTGTTCTTGAAGCCATCTGGGTCATTTGCTGTGGCCGTGGGCACAGGGACCTCTGCTGGCCCAGAAGCACTGGGGCCCTGGGTAGGCTCCCCTCGGCATTGGTCAGAAAGGCTGGTGGTCTGCCCAAGAGGCCTGCCGCAGGGTCCCACAGCCTCCAAGGCATTGGTTTCATCTGCCTTTCATGGTTAATTTTTTAAGCAATTTTTGTTATTTTGTTTTTTAAGATTCCTTTTTTTTGGATGGGCAGAATTTACAAAGAGAAGGAAAGAGAAAGATCCTGAACCTGCTGGTTCACTCCCCAAACAGCTGGCAATGGCCAGAGCTGAGCCGATCCAAAGTCAGGAGCTGGGAGCTTTTTCCTGGTCTCCCATGTGGGTACAGGGTCCCAAGGACCTAAGCTATCCTGTGTTGCCTTCCCAGGCCACAAGCAGGGAGTTGGATGGGAAGTAGAGCAGCCAGGACACAAACTGGTGCCTATCTGGGATCCTGGCAGATGCAAGATGGGGATTTAGCCACTAGGCTATCGTGCTGGGCCCAAGCATTATTTGTTTAATTATGTTTTTTGAAAGAGAGACAGGCAGCTTTTCCATCTGCTGGTTCACTCCCAAAATGGCCGCAACAGGCAAGGCTGGGTCAGGCAAAAGCCAGGTGGCAGGTGATCCATCCAAGTCCCCCATGAGGGTGGCAGGGACCCAGGTGAACTTGCGGCATCATCTGCCAGGCTGGATAGGAAGCAGAGGATCCAGGAGCTGATCCCATACGTCTTTAAGAGACACCGACATTGTAAGTTGCGGCTTAACCCACTCTGCCTTGCTCCCTCTTCTAAAAACCGGTGACCACCCATCAAGCTCGTAGGCTGGCAAATGTGCTGCAGTGTGGATGGAGCACAGCCCAGACTTGGCACTGGGGAGATATGGTACCACTGGGGGCAGGGTGGCTGTTGGCCTTGCCCTTGCTGGGTCAAGAGCCCTGTGGTATAGGGCGTTGCCTCCCACCAGCTGCCTCACCCCTCTTGGCTCCTGTCACCTACAAAGCCAGAGTGGCAACCATGTCTTTTGGGGCCTTCCAGGTGACAGGCCCATTGTCCCTGCTGTTCAGGTGCCCGTGTGGCCTGCCACGGGGAGGAGGACCCCTGCCCTGTGACATCTGTGTGTGCAGCCTGCAGTCTTGCCCAGGAGCCTCAGTTTTCCTACCTGCAGAATGGGGTGAATGGTCTTGTCAGATCTGCAGGGTAGCCCCAAGCAGTGATGGGGTCAGGGCCCAGCAGTGCTGGGAGACTGTGACTCCCAGTGGGACTTGGTGGGGGAAAGGGGGTCTTTGGCACTCCGTGCCTCAGTTTCCTCCTCTGTAACAGGGTGATTCTGATGTTGCCTCCTGGGATACCCAGAGGGCATGACAGTTCACGTGCAATGGGTGGTGGCAGAAGTTGGTGTTCTGTCAGAGTGTCCACATTTGCCTGCCTGCTAGGGGCAAGGCCCTTGTGTGCAGGCTGGGGCTGGTGGCGAGGCTGGGGACAGACTGCAACCCTTGAGGGCCCACCATCTCCAGTCCTTGCAGAGCTTACAGCCAACCCAGGGAACATGGAGGTGCAAGCAGTGTGGGGACACAGGGGAGCCCCAAGAGCAGCTGGGGAGCCTTCCAGAAGGAATGGCATTCAGCAAGTGCCAAGGCGGCGGTAGGGGGTGAAGAGCGAGGAAAGGATGTCCCGGAGCAAGGGCAGGGTGGTGGTGTGCGGATGCCTCGTGCAGGGCTCCATGGCACAGCGCTGGTGTCTGGAACACGCTGCGTCGTTCCAGCCAAGGGGCATGCCTGGCACACAGGAGGACGCCTTTCCCCAACTCAGACTTGGGTAATACCCCCTTTTCCAAGACAAGCCTTGCCCGTGGGCACTGGACAGCCAGCAAAGGTTGTAGGTGGAGGGCGGGACAGGGGGCAGGCCTGCATTCCATAAGGAACATGGCTCCCTGCGCCTTTGAAAGCAAGCAGGCAGGGAGGGTTAGGAGGCACCCCGTGCAGGCCAGGGCCACGTCCCTCGGGCCTACCCAGGGCCAGGCATAGGAGCCCTGGCCTCCAGCCCAACCCTGCCTGGGGCAGCCCCCTCCTAAGTGGCCTAAAATAAACTCGGTGTGGAGAATGGAAATGTCACTTTGGCCAGCGGGGGAATCTTTCTCTGAGATTGGATTTAAACTACATTATACGAGCAATTTCATGGGCACTTAGCGCCACTCGGAGAGTCCCGCCAAAGAGGACCCGGCTCTTCATTTACCAGCCGTAAATCAGCAGTTGCTATAATGAGCACAAAAATGTCACTTTTATGCAATTTTACAGATGAACAAAACTGGTGAAATTAACTGTGGTAACCTACTAGAGTCAGCAAAAGCAGCTGCTGGGGAGAAAGAAAAAAAAAAACCCCTTGCCGTGTGTATTTCTGTTCCTCTTCGGCTCTGCCCAAGCAGGGCCCTGCCATTGTGGTGTGAACACTCATTTGTCCTCAACCATTATACTTTCCTTCGGAGTTTATCTTGAGTATCCAATGAGCCACCAACTGTGAAAATGATTAAATCTACAAAATCTATCTAATGGATGGAATAAATTAGGTGTTTAAAACCTGCGGCGGCAGCGGCGGCAGCGCCCGTGGCTAGTCCTCACTCGGGTGGGAGTTGTGTGTGACTCCCGTCTAGCCCACGGGGTGCACCCAGAGTGGCCGGGCCGCCGTTGGGTGAGGGCATACGTAATGTGTGCAGGGCTCTGCTTGGCTGGGAGGGCTCCCTAGCAGTACGGACAGGTGGCAGGCACTCTGCAGGCAGAAGTGCCGGAGCCCTGGGAAGCAGCCTCCCCCATGAGTCTTTTTATTTGTTCATTTGGAAAGTAGATTCAGAGAGTAAGATCTTCCATCCACTGGGGTTCACTCCCCAGATGCCCACAACAGCTGGGCAGGGGCAACATCTGGGTCTTCCACAAGGAACCCTTGGACTTAAACCATCGTCGCTGCCTGCTCAAGGAGCTGGCAGGAAGCTAGGTCAGAAGCACGCCGTAGCTGGGACGCGAACCAGGTCCTTGCATATGGAACACACACATCTCAAGTGGTGGCTTAACCTGCTGTGCCAGGCCTTATTGTGACTGCTGTAGGCATGTCCTTCTCACTGCCTCCACCTCCGACGGATCCCTGTGCTGGCTTGGTCACTGTGGAGTCTGCTGGGGGACGTGTGGGATGAGTGACGAGGCGGTGGCCAGATGGCCTGTTGAGCCGAGGGCCCCTGCTCGCCTGCAGTCCCTGTGCTGACAGCTGAGGTCTGTAGAGGTGGCCTTCCAGAAGCTCCCCTCCAGCCCTGCCTCCACCCAGTGTTTTCTGAACCTGTTCTTTTGTGCCAGGCAGAGACAGAGCAGGGACCAAGGCAAGCACCAGCAGAAAGCACCGTGGTACAGGGGTTAGCATACTGATCTAGAAGTCTGTGTCCCCTATTGGAGTTCACGTTCTGCCCTCCACTTCCTGTCCTGCCTTCCTGCTAGTGTGCACCCTGTAGGCAGCAGTAGGTTCCCTGCCACCCACGTGAGAGGGCTAGAGCAAGTTCCTGGCTCCTGGCTTGGCCTGGCTTAGGCCCCAGCATGTGTGGGCATCTGCAGAGTGCACCAGTGGATGGGGGAATCTGTGTGTGTGTCCATTGCCTTTTAAGTAGAGAAAAAGAGCAAAGCAGGTGGGGTAGCTGTTGGCTGGTCCACAGACTCTTGGACAAAGCCCACAGATAGTGTCACATTTCCCTTCGCTCACACGGGAACTGTTCAGAGACTGGAGCGGTGGGACCAACTGAGGCTGTGGGACTTCGGTGGCCTCCATGGGCAAGCACCCTCCTGGGATGTGAGTCCTTGGGTGGCAGGCCACGTGTGCGTAAACAAGCCCTTAGGAGATGCCAGGCAGCCGACCCAGACAGAGCAGGGACGCCACCTCCACTGTGCCCAAGCAAACAACACGGAGCTCACTGAGTTTTGGGACAGCTTGACATGGTGCAGAGCAGTGTCTGGGCTACCCTGAAGGGTGGCAGGGAGGTATGCCTGGCCTGGACATGATGGTCAGCAGAGAAGGTAGCCTCTGGGGACAGACGGGACCAGGGGAGTGTTGGGGATGGTAACAGGAGGTGTGTGTGTGTGGGGGGGCGGTTCCTAGTGTCCCTATCAGGATCTGAGCGCTGCCTTAAGAGCCTTCCTAGCTGAAGACAGGCCGTGTCTGCCTTAGCAAAGTGGCATCAGCCTGGAGCACACAGTGGCCCTCACTGGGACTCCCTGGGCCACGAGGATGTGGCCCAAGCAGGCTCTGGGAACCAGGGAAGGCTGGGATGCAGGGACACAGGAAGAGGGCTAGGACCAAAGCCTGAAGATGAGAGCACGTGCCAGTTGTGGCCCACTGTGCCTGTGCAGAATTGGAATAGAGGACAGCCAGCTCCTGGGGGTCCTGGGGTGAACCTCCTGCCACGTGCAACATGTTTCCAAGCACCATTTTCCCTCGGCCTCCAGCAGTCCGTAGCTGTCATCAGGGTGGGCAGCCTCACAGTGCCTGGATTAAGGCTGGGAGTGCATGGGTTGGTTGGTTCAAATGCCAACTCTATGGTAGGCTCACCATGTGGCCTTGGGCACACGGCTGCCCTCTCCTGAGCTTCAGTTTTCTTGTGTGAAATGGGTCAGTGCTGCTGCTGGGC